TACATACATTACATACATGCATGCATACATGCATACATACATACATACATACATACATACATACATACATACATACTTGCGTGCATGCATGCATACACCCGTACATGCACATATGTATGTGCGTGTGTATGTGTATATATACTGTATATATATATATATATGTATATATGTACATGTACGCTACACGCACAAGCATACAGAATCAACCATGCATACATGCATGCATCGGGCCAGGCAGACACGTGTGAAAACCGGATGCCACGCTAGCTGTGAAAAACGAGGAGGTTCCATCAGACATGTACTGTGGGGGCTTTAATAAGTTAGAAAAAGGTTTGTCGGCTCCTTTACAGTATAAATACTAAGGAACCCTAAGGAATAATAGTGGTAATGATGTGGGCTTTTATAGTACAAGGAGCTCATCTCCCGTGCTGGCATTCAAGCCCTTCACTTGCTGGTTGGCGCCCGCATCAAAGTTAGTCGGGGGTCGCCAATCGCATGCTGCCAGTGCAATTCCTGGGTCACCAGGAAGTCTATCTGCAGAGTGATCTACACATGTGCTGTCGAAGTCTTAGCCTCGGGTGTTTAGAGGTTGCAGCTGCAGATTCCAACCTCAGCCGCGGAAGAAAAGCCTCAATCACCTCGAAACCCCAAACCCAGACACCCTCATCGCCAAAGCCCCACGGCAATACTGCTATTGGGGCTAAGATACCGTCGTGCACCATGTTGAAGCCATTGTCTTGACCAGTCTTGTCGGCAATCTGTGTGTTCCATACTTCCTTGCCCGTCTGCATGTCCAATGCCTGAACCGGTTCCGAGCTAGGAGGCGTCTCGTCTATTGAGCTGTTTCGGCCATTTGTTCCCAGTCTTAGAGTAACAGCTTTAGGTTCTTATGGGGCTTCGGCAAATGCTGGAGGACTGAAAGCTGGGCTTCTTAGTGCTGCAGTTTGCGGGGGCTTCAGGGCTTAGTTGGGGAGCGATCCCGAAAAGCGATGTTGAAGAGTGCTCCGGGGAACAAAGACAAATCCGTAGGTGTCACTGGCATACACCATGCCATCGTAGAGGAAAGGCGCATTCATGACCTCCTTGGGGAGCGTTGGAAATTCCCATAGCAGTCTTCCACTTGGATCAAACTTTCTGACTCCGTCGGCTGCTGAAAGATAGATATTGCTGTCCTCATCAATAGCTGTGCCGTAGGTCAGCGTTGCGAACCTTCCCAGTGGGTGATGCCACTCCCAGGCTAGCGAGTCCGTTAAGTTGAAAGGACCTGAAGTTGTAGAGACTGCATAGCTGGGAAAGTTCCCACGTCCAGAGGCCCAGTAATATGGACCAGAGTCCTGGTTGCGGTCCTTCGAGACGAGATGGGCTTGCAGCATAGAGAACCCTGCCCTCTCTGCATCTTGGCACTCTTCGGCTGGCAGGGCGCTGCTCGCAGAAACTTCTGCGAGCGCGACGGTCAGCAGAACTACCTGCAGGGCCTTCATCATCGCAAGAGCTGCGGAGACTTTCGAAATCCCTGACACGTTCGTGCTTCTCTTGCGCTCTTCCTGCACCCCTAAATCCTGCACTCTGACCCTAAACCGCTCTAGACACCTTAACCCTCAACACCCTAAACTTCAAACCCGACAAGCCCCCCTAAATCCTAAACTTTAAACCGTTTATGACACCATACTTCAATGAGGATAGTTTCAGTTTCTCGAGCCCGACCGGTGCGGTGCTGTCCAGGGGGAGATGGGACACCTGAATGTGAAGCTCAAACCCTAAACCCTAAACCCTAAACCCTAAACCCTAAACAAGGATGCAGGGTGTGGGGATTCAGAGTGTAGTTGAGGGTTTCGGGTTTAGGGTCCAATAGCCCTAAACCAAACCCTAAACCCTGAACCCTAAACCCCTCCCTAACCCCTAACCCCTAACCCCTAAACCCCCCAAACCCAGTTGAAGTGTGAGGTGGAGCGAAAAGTTGGACTCCTCAGCACAAGTTGGGCATGGTAAAAATACTAGGAACAGGTTTAGGGTTTAGGGTTTAGGGTTAAAAGGCCAAAACAACACACAAAAGTATACCATCACAGACAAGTCTAGCGCAATGGCCAAGGATTTCTGCCCCAAGAAGCCAGAGCACGACTGACTGTTAAGGCTCCCATACTACTAATCCAGAGGCCCGGAGGCCCAAAAAAACACAAACAACGTAGGGTTTAGGGTTTAGGGTTTAGGGTTTAGGGTTTGGATTTACAAAACAGCTTATCGAGGAGTGTAAAGCCACTGTCCACCTCGAGGTTCAGAAAAGTCAGGAATCCTAATATCACGGTTGGAGGTACATTACACGTATGCCGTATGCTTACAACCAGAAATAAGGACCCTGACGATAATTGCAACTAATTACTCAGATTTCTACATACGGTTGATGATACAGATCCTGCATTGCCTAAAGGACCCTAAACTATTGGAAATATGGTGTATATTCCTTATGATGGGTAATGCAGGATTTATATCATCAACCGTAACACCACAGGTAGTAGGGTCCAAATTGTGAACCTAAACCCTAAACCCTAAACCCTAAACCCTGAACCCTTAACAAAAGCCCACTGACAAAGTCATGTCCGACCTTCCGGATCAAGTCGAACCCAAAGCATGTTGCCGCTTCAGGGTCTGCGGAAGTTGAGGGTCTAGAGTTAGAGTGTTTAGGGTTTAGGGTTTAGGGTTTAGTGAGAGCTTCAGAATTTAAAAAAAGTGTAGCTTGCTTAGGGTTTAAGGATTTCAGGGTTTTGGGGCTGTACACTAGATACTGCAGGCAAGCCAAGTCTACTGAACTGGGAATGCTGAAAGCACCGCCAGCATCGAGCGCATGACACGTAGATGCACTCATCAATGTCCAGAAACGCAAACCTCAGGGAATTGAAATTCAGGCACCAAGACGGTTTCATGTCAAAAACAAAGGTACCAATGCTGCTGCGCCCTAAAACTCCCCGGACCCTAAGCCCGAAAGGTAAGCACGGCACCAGTCGATTCCCATCTCATGTGCCTGCTAAGCGCTCAAGTTGGGAGTGTCGAGCAGCTTTGGTTTAAGGTCTACGGTTGCAGTACTGGTTTTCCAGGGTGTAGGCTCCACATGAATTGCTGAGAGGCTGTGATTTAGGTTTGAGGTTTTTGGGGATGAGGCTAATAGATGGGGATTCTGTTGTGGGTTGAAGCAGGTGGCTCGGCACAGATTCACGAAAGAGCGTGAGCATCGCATGTACGGATGAAAGTGTGAACCTCAACTGCACTTTGTTGAGGAACCACCCCCCGCATGTTTGCGCTGTAGTGTTTACCCGGGCCCCGCCGCAAACCAGGCTAAGAAAAAGGCCTCAATATTTCAGAATCGTTTTGACGTATATTTTTGTAAACGTTGCAATCGAAATAAGGGCCCTAAGGAATAGGTTTACTTTCTTGTCTCGGCTTGTAGATTGGGCTCCTCATCCGGCCCTATGCCCGCAACCTTTCAGCTCGAAACCTTCCAGCCAAAAACCAAAAATCCTATACCCGCAAGCCCCCGAAGCTGAAAGTCCTAAAACCTTGCAAACCCACCGAAGCTCTAAGCACTCATACCCTCTTCCCTGCTTCCGCTGCCATGTTCCAGGGCTGGAGCCCTAAACTTTCAACCCTTCAGCGCTAAACCCTAAACCCTAAACCCTAAACCTCATGAAGCCCCAAACCGTGAGCCCTAAAATCCTATTAATGTAGGGTCTCTAATAATTGGAACAGGGTTTTGGGGTATATTCGCCTCGGTTTAGGGTTTAGGGTTCAGGGTTTTATATTAATTATGACTATAATAAGGGGCCACCAACATAATATGGGTAATTATTAAGGCCCCTATATTAGAGTAAAGGCTCCTCCATGTGCCTCCAAGACGGCCTGGTCGGCGGCGATCAGCTTGCGTGCCTCGCGATCATGCTCCTGTGCTTCCGGAGCTGGAAGGAGCTAAATCCACTTCAAAACCCTAAACCCTAAACCCTAAACCCTAAACCCTAAACCCTAAACCGTTCTTTGAGGTGTATAGGGCTTAAACCCTAAACCCCGAACCCTAAACCCTTAGGTTTCTTGAGCATGAGTAGCCCTAAACCCTAAGCTCCAAACCTTATAAATCCTAAGCTCTCAACCCTAACCCTAGCCCTATACTGAAAAACCCTATAAACCACAAGCTTGACCACAACTCTAAGCCCTACACCGAATACTCCAAGAAACCCTAAACATAATCCCTAAACCCTAAATCCTAAGCCCCTTAAACCCTAAACCCCTAAACACCAAACCCTAAACCCCCAAACCCTAAAACCCTAAACTCTAAACCCTAAACCCTAAAACCCTAAAACCCTAAAACCCTAAATCCCTAAACTCCTAAACCCTAAATCCTCAGCCCCTTAAGCTCCTGTCTCTTGCAAACGCCTTCGTAGAAGTCGTTCTTCTGCTTGCGAAGGAAGAACCGACTGGTGGACTTCGCCTTCGCCTCCGAGGGGGCTTTGGGTTTAGGGTTCAGGGGTTTGAGGGGTTTAGGGTTTAGGGGTTTGACGGGTTTTGGGCTTGAGGGGTTAGGGTTTAGGGGCTTGAGGGGTTTTGGGCTTAAGGGGTTTGGGGGTTTGGGGGGCTTAGGGTTTCGGAGTTTGAGGGGGGTTGGGCTTGAGGGGTTTAGGGGTTTGAGGGGTTTAGGGGTTTGAGGGGTTTAGGGGTTTTGGGGGTTTAGGAGTTTGAGGTGTTTTGGGCTTGAGGGGTTTAGGGTTTAGGGGTTTGAGGGTTTTCGGCTTGAGGGGTTTAGGGGTTTTGGGGGGTTTGGGTTGAGGAGTTTGAAGGGTTTTGGGCTTGAGGGGTTTAGGGTCTAGGG